TCCCCTGAGCCCCCCCCTCACCTGGCAGGTCACAGCCCTGGGGCTCTCCCGTGACCTCCCTACACACCTGGTCCCCTGGCACCTCTGTGACCGCCCCTCCCCCCCCAGCACCGCCTGGCTGCTCCCAGTCCCCCTGGCATCCCCGTGATTTCTCCCTGCCCAGCACCCTGTGTCCTCCCTCGGGCACTGCGCTGCTTGGGATCCCCAGCTCCCTGTGTCCTCCCTCGGGCACTGCGCTGCTTGGGCTCCCCAGCACCCTGTGTCCTCCCTCGGGCACTGCGCTGCTTGGGATCCCCAGCTCCCTGTGTCCTCCCTCGGGCACTGCGCTGCTTGGGATCCCCAGCTCCCTGTGTCCTCCCTCGGGCACTGCGCTGCTTGGCTGGTCACACCCCATGAAAGATTGGAATCCACCAGCACTCCTGTATCAACCCCCACGTCCCTGGGCATGGCACTGCTTGGCTGGTTATGCTCCAGGAGAGAGCTGAATTCCTCAGCACGCGCGCGGCTCTTCTCCCTTCCCCTTGGGGCACGGCACTGCCTGTCTGGTTGCACCCCCAGGGGGATCAGAATTCCCCCATCCACCTCTGTGACTCCCTCCAGGGCACTGGGCTGCCTGGCTGGTCACACTCTAGGAAAGATCAGAATTCTCTCAGCACCTCAGTCATATTCCCTGGGGCATGGCACCAGCTGGCTGGTCACGCCCCAGGAGAAAACTGAATTCCCCCACCACTTCTATAACTCCCTTCCCTTCCCTCAGAACTCCCTTCCCTTCCCTCAGGGTATGGCACAGACTGGTTGGTCATACTCACCACACACCTGTAACCCCCTCTGCCCTGGGCCTGGCATTACTCGGTTGGTCACACTGCAGGGGAGGTCAGCATCCCTTCAGACATGTCACTTCCTGGCTAGTCACACCTCAGAGGAAACCAGCACCCTTATGGACAGCCTGTAACCTGTCCGTCTCCGTACTTATGTTGTACAAGTGCTCTTTAGGCTGGCAGATGGAGTTGAAGGAGATGTAATTGAGATAGTGGTTGCAGGTGGCTCCTCCTTTGGGTTGAGAGATGTGGCAGTAGATGGAGAGGCAGGTGGTGGGGGAGGGTGCAGGCTTAAGGGTTTTTTTAATTTCCTTTACCCTGGCATTTTCCTGTTGTGAGAATGAGCCTGTGAAGAATGAGAGGATGAAGGTGAAGATAGAGTAGATCAGGAGTTGAGGAGATCAAGTCATTGAGGCTGCTGGTGGGGAACCCACACTCTGAAATCTCTCCTGCACCCGAACTCCCTTCTGGAGCCTGATCCCAAAAGTCCTTCCATCCTCAACCTCCTGCTCCATTCCCCAAGAGCCTGCACCCCCTCCAACAGTCCCACTAAGGATGTTAAATGGTGATCTGGCTAATCGTGTAGTTGATACAATTTGTATCAACTACACGATCTGTCGATAATGGACCGATTTTCAGAGCTGCAGCGGGGGTAGCTCCTGGTGCCTGCTGGAGTCAGGACTGAGTAGTCCTGACTTGTGTCAGCTCTGGCAGCCAACCACACTGCAGCTCTGCTTTTTAAGTGTAATAAGAGTCGCCGGACTCTTACTACATTTAAAATGCAGAGGAGCAGCGTCTCGGACCAGCGTGAGCTGGGACTGTTTGGTCCTGGCTCACGCAGAGTCCAGCAGCCCCTGTTTGCGGTGGCCAGGGCTGGCCATGGGCAGGGGCATCTCCAGCAATAGCCCTTGGCTGCAGCCAATCCCGGCCACCGTGAACAGGGGCGGCTGCTGCTGGAGCAGCCTCCCCTATCCTGCCCCCCGCCGCCTCTGATAAAGGCAGCAAGGGGGGGAGCAAGTAGTCAAGTACTCCACTCAGCTACCTGATAATCCTTGAGTAGTCGACTACTTGCTAACATTCCTACTACAAACCCCTTGACTCCAGCCCAGAGCCCTCTCCTGTATCCCAAGCCTCAGCCACAACCCACACCTCAACCCTGTCCCAGCCTGGAGTCCTGTTATGCACTCTGAATCCTTTATTTCTCACCCCAGAGCCTAGGGGAAGCTCCTGGCCTCCATCCTCCCCTCCCCATGGGGCTTTTGTGTGTTCCCCAACTTTTTTTTTTCCTCTGTGGGTCAGTGACCCCAGATAGGAAAAAGGTTCCTCACCCCAACCTAGAACCTCTCACTAATACCAGGACTCTACTGAGGTAGATATTATATAGACATTTGATAAGAAACAATTCCTAAAGTCTAAAAAGATGATAAAAGAAAGAGAGAAAGGGATTTAACATACAACCATGAGATGTAGAATTGAGACCCAGAAAGATGAAGTGGATTTCATGAGGTCATACAGGGAGTCTGTGGCAGAGCTGGGAATTGAACCTACGTTTCTCAAATACTAATCTAATTACTTGGATATAAAACCATAGAGTTTTCCGCAGTTGAAGTTATTGTTCACAGTCGACTCAGAGTTAAGCTAATGAGCAGGTGCGTTGCGAGTGAAGTTTGGGGTGAAGTTCTCACAGTGCCTGCGTTCTTCATCTATTACTTCCTTTTCTGGATACTAAAATCACGTATCAGGCATTAAGGTACGTTTTGGGAAACAACAGTGTCTTGGCACAATGCTACATAAATCTTGAGTTTGGGCTGAAACCCTGCCCTTAGCGATGGCAGGGCTTACAACAATCCAAGATTAAAAGCAATATTGCTCTCAAAGCTAGTGTGCCCTTCCTGAGTGCATAATAACTACTATCCTGGGAGGTGTGTTCTCACAGATTCTGAAGGTATCTAGGAGACAAATGCTGTTAGGATTAAGGTTCTGGTAATTTAGGGCTGCAGCTTTTGTTCTGCAGTCTCATTATTTATGGAATGATCCCCAAGGTTCGGTATCTCACGTGTTCTCTGGAGATTATCAAAAGTGCTCTCATAAAGTGAGATAAGATGGATATTGTGTATTCTATGAGCAAAATGAATCATATTTATAAAAGTGGCCACATCTTTGGGGAGGCGGTTGTAAGAGAAACCTAATACTGTGAGTGGATTTAAAGGGGTGTTGTAACTTGCAATCTGTTCAGTGCTTAAACAAAAAGTAAAAATATTCTCTGGAGATTATCAAAAGTGCTCTCATAAAGTGAGATAAGATGGATATTGTGTATTCTATGAGCAAAATGAATCATATTTATAAAAGTGGCCACATCTTTGGGGAGGCGGTTGTAAGAGAAACCTAATACTGTGAGTGGATTTAAAGGGGTGTTGTAACTTGCAATCTGTTCAGTGCTTAAACAAAAAGTAAAAATAGGCTCTAGTAATCCACTGCCCATACATTTTTCTGCTGACTATTATGGTTTTATAATC